GAGCCCATGTTTGTTAAACCACCAGCACTTGGCCCATGCATCGGCCGCGGCCCCTTAGCGTTAACTCTATGGGTTTTCCGAGCTTCGCAGAAGGCCCGGTAGTGCTATGGAGGAAGAAGTCATTGGGCCCAAGGAAAATCACAAATGGAATGTAGTCTGTCCCCTTGGTTTATACCGTGCGTGTGGAAACAATGCACAGACGCAGTATAGGCCATAAAAAAAACAAAAAAAAACAAATGAAAACGAGACAAGTGCAGGAAAAAAAAAAGAAGAAAAAAAAAACCAAAGTCGTACCCGCCACTTGGCGGCCAAAAGGAGGGAGATAACGCTCTTGAGTGTTTTCAGAGCGCCGCCTCTCACGACGGGCAGGCGGGCAGACGAAGGGCCAGCTCGGTTGGGTCTCTCTACACTACTACAGGCCTGCTAAAAAACCGAAATGTATCTTTCCATGTTCCATAGGAGGATTCGGTCTCATGCCTTCACGTTTGGAGAGTTGCCACAGAGCTCTTCCTTCTGCCCGCCGTGGGAGGCGGGCCTCTGACAGCGCTGAGGGCATTTTGAATCCTTTTTTCCCTTTTCAAGGTCTTGTTAGACACACCTAAAAGAATCCTAAAAGATTTAGGACGAGTCCTAAAGGTTTTTCAGGATTTCGCGCGGCGTCGTTACACGCAGTCCTAAAAATCGTCTTTTAGGAATCGTCCTAAAAGGTTTCCCGCGGCCCGTTTTCATATACGTATACGCAGCCGCGTCGCCGATGTCCGTCCAGTCCTGGCTGGTGTCCGTGGTCCACACTGCGGTGGCCCTTGGGCGGGTGCTGACGGGTTGGTGAAGCGCGCGTTTGCCGAGACCTTCGAAATTTCAAATTCGAATTTTGGCGGACGCAGGCTGGCGGGCTGGAGGACGGCCAGGCGATGCGTGTGACGTACAAGAGACGGCGGTGGCGACCCCTTCGCCGTGGGTAACCAGCTTTGCTGTACGCGGGAGTTGTGAGGCGCGCGACGCATCTTCCTGCTCGGCGCATCTTTACCTACGGACGTGCCGTCGCCTTGCTGTGGACGTCTGGGGACTCCTTTGTTGCCCGCACCCGAGCCAACGGTCCGCAACGGCCGCCCGCCTCGCCCGCCTGGCCACGCTTCGCCACGTGCGCTCCACCCCACCGGCCAACGGCTACCGGTGGGGGCCGTTGACGTCGTCGACCGGCAGAAAACCTCCGATGTCCGCCCACCGACCCGACGGACCTCTCTTGGACCAGCGCCTCCGTGTCGACGGTGCAATTCTCGCGACGCAACGACTCCGTGAAACGCGGGAATCCTAAATTTTTCAGTAGGTCCGGGGCTACTGGAAAATTTAGGACGATTTGGCTGGGGAATCCTAAATCTTTTAGGACGAGTTCTAAAGCCGTTTTCACATTTTGGATTCCTGCGTCCGATTTAGGATTGCATGCAACCAAGACACAATCCTAAAAACAGGAACTTTTAGGCGTGTCTAACGAGACCCTCAGTCTTTTTTTTCCTTTGTCTCTGGAAGAAGAAGAAGATTTGGTCCGACTTGTGCAAAATAAGACTGAATTTACCCCTAGAACATGGAAAGATACATTTCCACCTTTTTTGTCTTTTGGTTTACTTTTTAGACTGAATCCTCCCCTACAACATGGAAAGATACATGTGGGGAGACTGAATCATCTGCTGGAACTTGGAAAGAGGTACACCGCCATTTTTTTATTTTTTTTTCTTTTCCGCCATTTTTTTTGTCTTCACGGGGAGCACATCAGAAAAGCTCTTCCTTCTGCCCGTCGTGAGAGGCGGGCCTCTGACAGAGTTGAGAGCACCCTTCTTGCCTTTTTTAGTTGTTTTTTTTCTTTTTGGCTCACTTCTGGCCGGCGTGGGCTAATGTACGAGTGAAAACAGCTACCCCGTTTTGTACCAGCTGCTGGTTGCAGGTCCAGCACAAGGGGCGGTACCTGTGCCAACCACAAAATGCCCCCTACCGGTTCCCGCCCCTTCCAGGCTCGGCAAAGCTTGGGCATATTTAGGCTCGGCATCAATAGCTGGGCCAAGTACTGGTGGTTTAATGGGGGATGCAGCGTACTTACACAATTGAAAGTCCTCAAAGTTTTCCAGACTGAGCACAACCCATAAGCACGAGTTTGTAGTGCTTGCGAAAGAAAGGGGATAATTGGTGGGAACCGCCCATGCAAAAACCTCTTTGCTATTTTTAGCCCAAACTTTTTTCGTTCGGCAAGAACGGCCTACCAGACAGTGAATCTGGCGCGAATACAGCGCCACGTTCCTATTCCGGTAAGAAGAGGCCTAGCGGTCAGGACCCAATCTCGGCAGACAGCCTGCCTGTGGGCATTTCTTGCCAAACAGGAAAAGTATTGGCGGGCCGTATCCACCAATTTCCCCCCAAAAGGGGATAATTGGTGGAAACCACCCACACATATATATGGGTGGGTTGTATAACTCCATGATCATTCAACATGTGACATCATTCATAATTACACCATGGTTAACGCAACCGTCAGTCCACAGGGACCTAGATAACCCATCAGTGCAGACCACATTCACATTGTGCAGACTCAGAGAAAAGAACCCATAGCAGTGAGAAAGTAGGAAGAGAGGAAAAAAAACACACTACGACACGTCATCATCCTCCCGAACGTGACAATAGGCTTAAAATAACCGACACGAAGAACGGCCTATGGAGCCTGGACATAAGTGAGCTTCATGCTCATGTCGTGAAAATCCTGAACCAAGCTAGCCGGCGGATGACCCGACATGTTTCATCCGGTCGTCGGAACCGGAACTCCTCAGAGGTCTACGTCACGATGAGTGACTTCTGACGCGTCGCTGATCCTATTGAAAGTGATGCAGACCAGGAAAGACCAGGAAAGCAAACCGTAGAAGGACCAAAAGGTCAAAGTTCAAGCCCAAGTATTATCGGCCTATGTAGTCTCACCTCAACTGGAGCCCCTTCGGGGACCCACAACCCGTCATTAACCCTCAAATTAGGAACCCCATTTTTGTTTGCGGCCTCTGTAGAGCCTCGAAGCAGATCGTTACCTAATCATACTAGCCTACATTCCAAAAGAAAGGGCCCCCTGCCTGTACGGGCCGTTAGGCCCCAAGAACTTACACTTATCCGGGAGAAAACTGTCCCACCCTGTCAAAAAACAAAATCAATCATCCCAAATTCCTCCAAATTTCGAAGAAAACTTAACCAAAGTTTTATCGAAGATGTCATCCTTGAACCCTCGCAATCTCAGTTCAACTTTGAAGGAGAACAGAAAAGCAACTTCAGCATATGTCTGAGACTCCCCTCCATTGTTTTTGAGTGCCCGCTCCCCGGCCACATGTAAGATCGCCAAACCCATTTTCAGTTCATACCATTGCAACAGGCCACCCTCTGACGTGCTGTTGCCGTTGGGTGGCTAACAAAGCACACAACATACCGTTACGACAGGCCTGGGAACTCCACCAAGAAAGACAAAAATCACCGACAGAACTGCCTTTCCTCCTGCACCCATGAACTGTTCACTTACGGACCACAGTTCGAAACAAAATATAATAACTCAACAATGATAATGACCAAAATAAAGATATAAAGACAGTGGACAACGGTCAAACTGCTGCGTGCTGGGCATGGTACACCCACACACTGGTCTAACTCAGTCGGTAAGGCTCGCAAGTAGCATTCAGGAGGCCGTGGGTTCAATCCCCATTGGCCTTATGTACCCTCCTGGGCATGCTTGGCGCCCACCACCTAGAGATAGACCACTGGATACCCCGATCGACTTTGATGTTGGTAGGGTAGGGGAACTGAGGGGAGTCACAGAGATTGGTATCAGTACACGTTGAGAGTGTAAGCCAAAAGGACTCGAATCTGGCCTCCGATTTTGCGATTTTGAGGCCCTAGTGTGAGCGCATACTCACAGTAGGCCCTCGAAAATTTCAAAATAGCAGAATGAGCGGCTAGATAGAGCT